GAAGATGGCACTGTGGCCAGCGAAACCTGCTGGCTGTGAGTGTCTGGTCGAAAAGACCTTGATGAACGTTGCTCTATTGCTAGTTCCCTCTGCACCTCGCCTGATGCGTCGAGTGCGAGTGCTAAAAATGTATGTATGTATGTATGTATGTATGTATGTATGTATATAAATATACACATAAACATACACAAGAATATGAATATAAACATAAATAGAAATATCTATAAATACAGATATAAATGTAAGGGTACGCGCTATACCTCGACCCCTGAACCCATTAGTATAAATAAATAAATAAATATATATATATATGTACATATATAGATATGGCATGAGGTATCTTATCGCAGTGTCAGCTTAGTCTAAGTTTTGCAACAGCAGCCCAGGAGAAGAAGCCGCAGCAGCTTCAGGCTGAGGAGGCCTTCGCCAGGTGGGGCATCCCCTGTCGGGCTCCACTAGGCTTGCAGGGTTGGGATAGGCTAGGTGTTTATGATGCAAATATAGGCCACATGCCACCCCCCCCCCCCCAAATCTTCAGATCCTTGTTCTCAACAACATCTAAGTCCGAAGCCTCAAGCTGTGTGGCTCTAGGGGGACCATGATCTTGAGAAGCCTCCAGGTGGAAGAAGTCAGACGCCTTTCGTAGGCGGGTCGTGGCGATTCTGACAGAGGAAGGCAGAGGATGTGCCAGTCACAAAGACTACGGGGTGGTCACAAGGTGGGAGTGGCCTTTGGATCACCGGATCACTTCTTCGGGTTGTTTCCTAAGCTAGAGGCTTCAGGTTGATGCAACCTATACGTAGGTTTACGGGTTGATCGGGGGCAGGTCGTATAAAGCATTCTGGGCTCCCCTGTTCTCTGCACTCCAGGTGGTTGCGAAAGCATTTCCCCGAAGAGGAGAAGTACCGAATCCTCATTCACGCCCACGCGGGGGACGGCAACACCCAGGATGCCGCAGGGATTGAGTCGGCATTGAACGGTGGCAACGGCGTGTGGTCAGCTGTCATACCTCAGGCAGGGGTGCCATGGGGTGCCTACTCTGTTCAAGAGATTCGGGTTCCATGTACAAGTCCGGGTCACCAGTACGGGGTATCTTTGGTTTAGGGGTCTTGATTGTCGCAAACGGAGCCCTAAACCGCAACCGCGTTTGAGTTCAAAACCCAGGTGTTTTCTTAAGGGGCGGATCCCCGTGCAAGCTTTGACTTCGTAGATGTAGTGTGGTGGATCCGCGTGCAAGCGTAGACTTCGTAAGTCTAGTGGTCGAGTTCAGACGTCAGAGTTTCCTATTCAGGGTCTTGCAAACAACCCAACAACCTAAGGCTACCAAAATCTCACGGCCGTATATCTTGAGGCAGTAGGACTCGCTTGAAGGATTACGGATGGAGTGTTGCAGTAGAGTATACACAATCCAAAAGTAAGACCTAGTCTGATACCTGTACTCTCAATGTCGTCACCCCTTGCCGAGGATTCCTCTTTTTCTGGGTAAATGGTAACCTAAATTTTGGCGAGTACCTTTAAAACTCTTGGCGGATCCATTGGTCCGTCAGGCGGCCCAGGGGGGGCACAACTCCAGCCTCGTTTTCCTCGACAACATGCTCCAGATGGGCAACGAGACTAGCTGGCATTCAGTCTTTTTGGGCGTCCGCAGGGCTCCTTACTTTGGAAGGAATTTTGCGTACATGTGAGCCAGCTTGTGAACGTGTTTGTTGTCACTCCCTCATAGGGCCATTGGTATGATGAGGGAACATGTGGTGGTTGGCATAAACCATACAGCCGTGGGTCGTTTGATGGGAACATGTCTTTTTGCCAGTCCCAACTGGGAACAATCAAGGAGAATGTGCTACAGGATTTCTGGTTATTCCAGGCATCTCAATGCGCGCGTCACATCTATTACCTCAACTTCAACACCTACGACATCCCGGGTGATTGCCCGATTTGGGGCGATCGAGTCAACAAGCTCACCCACACCGCATTTTGTACCTGGGCTCCTGTTAAGGAACTTACATCAGGCTACCAGCAGAACAGGACAACCATACCTGTTGCCCGTATGTCAGTACTGTGGTAGTTACTTACCTATGGGATCAAAATCCCAGTTCCTCAACGGCAATGCAGGTAAAGTCAAGGGTGAGGACTGGCGCCAACGGCGCGGCAACTACTACAACGTATGGGGCGAACGAGAGTCTTGGCTCTTGCGTTGGGCTAAGCCAGCTAAGCAGCAAGCTACGAGCTTCAGAGATGCGAACTACCACCAAATTAAAGCCATGAGGCCTGCAATAACATGTAAGGCAGGGGTGTAGGTACGCCTTTGTATTTTGAAGCTTGAAGTCGTCTCAAATACGTCTGCCTCATGCCAGGAAGCCCTGGACTTGAAGGATGTGGCGAAGAACTCCAAGCACCGGCGCGACGTGAACGAGCTCCGCTCCAAAGAGAAGGAAACAGAGGGCCAATACCGGATCCTGGGTTGATGTGTAGGAACCGAGAAGGGAATTAGACAGTATATTTTTTCCTTAGCATGCCATCATGAATATCATGGTACATGTCGTTGAGCTTAAGTTCCGCGACGGCAACCCAGGATCTCACCTTTGGTCTCCGACCTCGACACCTGGACTATGCGCATTTCTGAGACGCGCATCCTTGGTCCGCGGGAAATCTCCGGCGAAATCTCCGAGGAAGTGCGCGCTCTAGGCTTCACGTTGATGAATGCAGGCCTTCGCGTGAACCTAGACGCTCGTCAGAACTTGACGAGGGCAGAAAATCCACAGCGCACTTGACCCGAAGCCATCAAACCGAAGAGCAAAATCCGACACCCTTGTGCTGCCCAGGATGCAGAAGAAACGCTTGGTCGTTTGGTCAGGATTGCGAAGCGCATTCTGGAGGAGAGAGCGAGGCTTGGGTTGTTCCAAAATCTCATATTATATGAGACATGGTCAGCACTCTTTTTTAAGGGGGTTACATGGGGGTTGTGTAGGATCTCGAACACCGGGCTCTGAGGCCAATATGAGGACTGTCCTAAACTGGGGGTCTCTCTTGGGAGGTGCAGGGTAGGGTTCGGGGTCCTTCTGGTGGCATCGATTGTAGAGATTCTTGTTACTTGCCGGCGCTGTGCTTGTCTAAGTAGAGCAGGGCCACTCGATGATCAGGGAGCTATCTATCTCTGATTGACGTGTCATTGTGTGTTACACCACAGCGCCCGACTCCGGCGGTCAGAGATGATTGACCTGCAGGCTCACCTTTCCTTCAGGTGACGCTTAATTTCCGAAGGACTGACAAGTCACATGGATCTGGAGGATAGTTGGTGAAGACGAGAGTCGGCTCGACAGAACTTCGCAAGGGGTCTCGATACCTCGTTGTGTTGCACTCGTTTGCCTGCGCATCGGCCGCCAAACAGTGCGGATTAAATCGCTACAACCTCAAGGACACAGCAAAAAACTATAGACTCGCTAGATTTATGATTGCCCCTTGAATCTTCACATATGACTACCTGTCCAGGTGCCCGGAGGTGGCTGGATACCAGAAGGCCAAGCAGCACCAAGGGGATCGCGAGTGATCCCGCCGACGGCGGCCGCTTTTTGGTAGGAAGCCTGTTCAGGAGGATCCCCATGGAAGGGGACCCCATGAGAAGAACTCCCACAGGCTCCCAGCCGAACCCAGGAAGTCCCTCGGCCCGGAAAGAACCTCTCTGTAGGATCCTCTAGATCAGCTTCCGTGTCTCCATGTTCCGTTTTAGAGTATAGGGTTTAGGGTTCTCTGAACGAACCCGGCTTCATGATTTTCCCTTGGCCTCACGCAGGCCACCCGCACAGATGGGCACCATGCCCATGTATTGTCCCGCAGCTGTGCAGAAGTCACAGACATCAGAAATGGGACTGCATGTGATGGACCTTTGATTGCGCTCTCAATTGTGCTCGTGTCAGTTAACTGTGGTCAAAAACGGGCGCTGAGCCGACGGTCTTGGTGTGCAGATGAGTGAGAGGGCATTGCACGAGGGCTCCGGTTGGCAGGTTCTGATGATGAAGCTCTATTAACTGGATCAGACTTGACGCCTGAGGGAGCTGAAGGAACAAGTTGAGCAGGAGGCATAGGAGGCTCAGGGCGCCAGTGCAGTTCGTAGCTATCAGTTTCGTCAGGTTCGCAAAAGGCGTGCGCCTTTCTCAGGACGGAACTCGTAGCAAAGGCTCGGATTAGCAACGCGTGATTGAAGAAGCAACTCTTTCACTGAGACTCATGTCGGCCGCAGTGGCTGACGGCCGTGTTTCGGCCATCAGCCTGGTGACGAAAGCAAATTTGTGCCACTGATATGTCATCAGGTTGCATTGGGCTGTCGCGACAAGGTTGTGCTGCTCACGAGCCAGGCCGCATTTTTTCAGTCAGGTCGTATGACATCCAATCCAAACCATGCATTTCGCATCAACATCGGAGTGTGGCGCAATTGTGTTCCGGTGTGGTCTTGGGACGGCATACGCTTAGTCTGAAACTGGATGGCTGTGCGTCAGTCTGCGAGCTCTTCCTACGCAGGCAAGTGTCATGCAACCCTGGCCAATGACACGATCACCATCTTTCGGGAGACCCTCACCAACTTACCCTTGCATGACTGTTGCATACCATGGCATGCATGACAACATGTGATTGTACATTGATAACGTGTGACAATATCTTGTGCCAGGATTCACAGCAAGTCCATGTTCTACATGACCCTTGCGGACCCGGCGATGTGGAAAGTATCCACGGAGGTAGGGCTTTCCCGTGACGGCCGTGTGGTTGCGGCATTTGACCCGGAAGCGACGCTGAGGCATGCTGTGCAGCTGCTGATCGTCATACTCAGGTGCCGTGTTGTCAAAGACATTCATGCTGCAGGGAATGTCCACTGGTGCGGCGCCTGGCTGGTGCCACGAAGCGTGAAAGCAATGCAAGGATTTGGCTAGTCAAGTCCCCAAGCCCAGATGCGAAAAAAGGTTTGGGGACAGCCTCGCAATCGGCGGCCGCTTCTTCCAGTGGCCTGTTGAAAGGTTTCTAGAGGCAGAGGCTACCTCGAATACAGTTTTGCCTCAGGTACGATCCCACATCTGATGCCGCGAGCCTGGCAGAGTGTTTGCATTGCGCAGCTGAGTGGTGCCTTCTACTGCATGCTGTCCGGAGTGTTGCAGTTGCAGCGTTGCTTTGGCAGATAGGCAATCCAAACTCCCACGCGCATGCCGGTTGTGCCACGCGAGGAGTGCTTGCCGAACTTGTTTGTGCAGCCGAACCGAGCTCGGAGCCCAACACTTTGTCCGTTAAAGTCTGGCATCCGGAGGAGTTGGGGAGCTGGGTGCCGAGAGGTACTTGATTCACTTGATAAGCGCGCCAATGAACAGCTGGAGTATGTCGGGTGCCCAGAAAGCAGTCCTGCGCAACATTGAGTCGTGCCATGTGCCGTTCATTAACCTGCAGGAGCTGCTGCTGAGATTCGGCAGCTTGAAGCACTGACTGGTGATGACTTGTTTACTAGAACATCTGGAAATGCCATCCAGCCAATAATAGAATTCGAGACTGCAGTTCCAGCGTTTGCGTGGCCGCGTGCATCGAAGAACGCGACCATCGTGGAACCTCTGATGTGTTTACATCTGGTGGCGTGGGTCCTGGTGGACTTGGGAGTATGGCTCGTGGTACCTCTACACCGAGGCAGGACAGTCCCACGGCCATCCAGAAGCACACCCTGCCTGCGGCAGGTCCATCTCCCAAGAGCCGGTCGTGGAGGGATGGTTTCGGTGGCACCATGACGGTATCGACATGTTCGATACCGGACTGGATGCACCGCCTCCCTTCACGGACTGCGAGTGGTGGACACTGCGTCCCAGCCCCGGAAGCAG